TGGCGTACACGGTACTCCTGAGAAACCTGTCACCACAAGAGCAGCAGAGCATCAGAACGTATCGGAGTTATGGAAACTCCGCGGAGCTCGCATGGCACCACCTCAAGTGCCTTTACCAAGCAAACGACAGCGTGACACAAAGCAGACTCATGCAACAGCTGACAACAATACAGATGAAGACCGGGGAAAAGGCGATGCAGTATATGAGTCGCTGCCAGACCCTCCGCGACCGCCTGCTTCGGTGCGGAGGAACGATCACTGAAGAAAGCTTCGTAACACTTGTCCTCGCCGGGCTCGGGCCAGAATGGAGAACCACACGATCACTTCTTCGAGCCCACGGAAGAATTTCGGAGATGCACCTCTGCGCCGAGCTTCACGCTGAACAACAGGAGATGGATCTGTTCGAGGAAAGACAACCAAGGAAGCAACAGCAGTTAGTCTTCTACACTCAAAGAAGAAATGACAACAACTACAACCGACGCAGCAAGCAAGATCAACGCGACAACCGAGGACTCACCATCGTGCCGCCGTTCTGCCACAACTGTCAGACTTCCGGGCACTCCAAGGTCAACTGCAACCGCCCTCGCGTTTACCGTGCAGCAGACCCACAAGTCGCTTCCACTCAAGCAAGTCCTCCAAGGCGCTCTTCAACATCTGCACAACAAACACCCAACATCATCAACTGCATGGTACACATCGACAACTGCGCACCCGCTTCACCACCCACTTACGCACCAGACGAAGAGGAATTCCCGCCGCCGCGCTCGCAAGGACTTCAGGTCAACCCGACATACGCTGCAGTCGCTAACGCCGAACCCACCGGGCGGAACACCTGGTTCTTGGACAGTTGCTGCGGTCAGCACATGTGCTCCTCCGGACGCTTCGTACAACACGAGCGACGCCTCAACCGCGACGTCGTCATCACCGTCGCCAACAACGAAAACCTGAAAACAAACAGACAAGGCGTGGTTCAGTTACAATCAATGGAGACAAACGTTATTCTTCAGCTCAACAAAGTCCTCATCGTCGACAATCTGGGATACAACCTACTAAGCGTAAGCCAACTAATGGCTAAGGGGATTCACCTGGAGTGCGACTCCTTCTCCAACGAGTTCCGACTTTACCACGGGAAGGGCGGCCTCTTCATCGGTCGTGCCCTCCTGAAGTCCGGTGTCTTCGTGTTGGACTTCGTCCCCGACCGCGGAACTGCCGACAGCGATGGCATCGTATCGTTCGCCGCCTGGACTCACCCGCCGGATCTTGATCCCGACTTCGACAGTGACGGCTTCTGGCACTCCAACACCATACCTGCAGCAGAGAGAACACGAGCATTAGCAGTTATCAGACAAGAAAGACAAGTACCCGCAAGTGTCCCAACAAAACCATCACCTGCAGTATCGGCAGCAGGACCCAGCCGAGTACCACCACCATCAACACGAGGACCGCCAACGGAAGCAGACCAACTTATGCCCGCCACACGAGAAGCTTGTCGAAGTCCCGCCTCGGTCGTCGCGTTCTTCTCCAACGCCGACATCTACCACCGCTCGCCCGGTCACCGTGCTCCCGACGACATCTGGCACCAACGCCTCGGACACCCTGCAAACAGCACAATACTTCAAACAATCCAAGCAGAGGTGTTAGAACGTAACGCCCTTCTAACGACGAGCGGCCAAGAACTTCGCCGACCAAGAGCACGATGCTTCACGTGCCCCGAAGCAGATCTTCCTCATCAACCCTTCCCATCCCATCATAATCCAAGCGCGCCTGCATATGCAACGATGGAAAAAGTCTACAGCGACATCTTGAACATGCCTCGAGACGACACGGAAGCCGACTTCAACTACGTCATCACCTTCGTCGATGCAGCAACAAGATACACTTGGCATTACAACCTCAAGACGCGCGATCAAGCCTTCGACGCCTTCACAACATGGCTCCCCATCGCCGAGCGGGAATCAGGAACCAAGCTCAAAAGCTTCCAGTCAGACGGTGCCCTAGAATACCAGTCACAACGCTTCAGGACCTATCTGGCAGAAAGAGGAATCAAGCGCCTGGTGTCCCTACCATACGCTCACCAGCAGCAGGGGGTCGCCGAACGCATGAACCGGACCTTGCAGACGACGATGCGAAAGCTGCTCCTGGGGATGAGACTGCCCAATACACTGTGGCCAGACGCGATGACACATGCAGTCCACCTGCACAACCTGTTGTCCTCGTCATCGCTCCCCAACAACGCATCACCGCACCTGCTGTGGACGGGAAAAAGGGGCAGCACAAAATTACTTCGAGTTTTCGGCTGCATGGTACAATACAGACCCCACACAGCTCGAGCAGGACGCTTCACTCAACGAGCTCGGTGGGGACTACACCTCGGCATCGCCAAACATTTTCACGCGTGGAAGATTCTCGACATACACGACAAAAATACGGTGGCATCACGTGATGTTATCTTCTACGAGCGACTGACGCTGCAGCATTACCTGGACAACATTGCCAACTCAGACGACCCCACCGACGGCTTCGCGGGCCTTCGCTCCTTCGCTGACCATGCTGCCGAAGCTGACGCAGCAGAAGAAGACGTCCCTGGAGCCTCGGAGGCTGCCGGACCACTCCCCTACTGCTCCGTACCTGTTCCACTCGATGAAGATAATCCCCTCGATAGCAACAACCTCGACACCTTTTACCACTTCGCTGACCAAGGCTACGCTACACCACACCCCGTCGACTCGAATATTTCCGAACGCATCGGGCCAAACTTCTTACCCGATCCTGAAGACGGTGATGAAGCAGCTTATCCCGAGAATGAAAACTCCCCTCGACACACAGCCACGGGACTGCAGATCCTAGGACTATGGGTCTCCGTCCAGCACCCGCCGCCGCCTTCTCCGCGCGAGCCGTCGACCCTGTCGCAGGCTCTGGGGGGGGAACATAAGGCACAATGGAAGGAAGCGATGGAAAAAGAGTTAAAAGCTCTGCAAGACCGAGAAACATGGAAACTGGTACCTGCAACGAGCATCAACGGGAAGAACATTCTCTCGGGGAAATGGGTGTACCGCATCAAGACCAACTCAGACGGCTCCATCGAACGATTCAAAGCTCGATGGGTCGTACGAGGCTTCGATCAACGATACGGAACCGACTACACAGAAACCTTCGCTCCAGTCTCCCGTCACACCTCCCTGCGCATCCTACTCGCCATCGCGGCCACGAAGAAACTACCACTACGGCAAATCGACGTTGCAAACGCCTTCTTGTACGCACCTGTGGACGCCGAAATCTTCGTCGAACAACCCCACGGATTCATCGACGACCCTTCAAAAGTATGCCAGCTGGAAAAATCCCTTTACGGGATCAAGCAAGCCCCACGGCTCTGGCAGCAGCACCTTCACGGCCGGCTCGTAAAAATCGGATTCCTACAGTTACCACATGACCAAGGCATGTACCGACTACAGAAGGGAAGAGATTACATTCTGCTCATCGTCTACGTCGACGACCTGCTCTACATCGGTTCTACCACCGACATCGTCACCTGGTTCGAAGGGGAGCTGAAAAGGGACCTAACGCTCACGGTGTCCGACGAGGTGACGCAGTACCTAGGACTGAACGTCGTCGAAGACGACACGGCGTTCTACCTACACGCTGGAAAGTACTCAAGCACCGTCGCGAAGAAATTCGGTCTAACACCGACTGCGGTCCCAACTCCCTACCGCTACGGGAACAACAGTAGCGCCTCCACAAAACTCCCCGCGAAACAAATCCAGGAGTATCAACAGAACCTCGGCTGCCTACTATTCGCAACAGTAACCTGCCGACCCGACCTATCCTATAGTGCGAGTCAGCTGGCGACACATCTGAAGCAGCCGCAACAGGAAGATCTCGAAGAACTCAATCGAGCGCTACTCTACTTCGTCTCCACGCCGACGATCGGGCTCACCTACAGCAAGGCAACAACACCGTCCGTACGACTACTCGGATACGTCGACGCCGACCACGCGGGAGACAGCGAAAATCGACGGTCTAGGACGGGCTACATCTACCGACTAGAACCTATCGGAACTATCTCCTGGCAGTCGAGCAAGCAGGAGTTAATCGCACTATCCTCGGCTGAAGCAGAGTATATCGCCCTTTGTACTGCGACCAAGGAAGGACTCTACCTACGAGAGTTACTCGAAGAAGCGAAGATCGCGACCCTGCCCACCTTCTCACTCCTCTGCGACAACCAATCTGCGATAAAAATCGCGAACAAGGACGGCTTCGCCAACCGAACCAAGCACATCGCCCTGCGGTACTTCTTCGTCAAGGATGAAATCGCGAAGGGGAGACTTCAACTCAGTTACTGCCCGACGACAGAAATGGCCGCAGATTATCTGACGAAGAAATTGGCGAAAGCAAAATTCGACTACTGCATGCTCCTAACCGGGCAAACAAACGTCACCGGATCTGAACACTCCAGCACTCCAGAAACGAAGGGGAGTGTTGGAAATATCTCAAGAACTTAAGCGTTTCTGAAGTGTAACACTGTACTCGAGGAAGATTACAGGGGAGCACGCGAGTCAACGGAGGTTACACGAGGGGGCGGACAAAGAATGCGAAAGGACTCGAAAGGTCGCAACTGGAGGTTGCGACTGACCGTTACAACATCACGGATGGTAACCGAAGCGGCAATCGAGTCGCTGTGCGACTCGATAAACCGTTCCTGTAACTGTATTCTACAACTGCTTTCTTATCTTCTATATATTGCTGTATGCTTGTTTCTTTAATTAATCACTTGTTTTCACATACTAGTACAAGGGTTCAACTGCCTCAACTTCCGCTGCACTACTCCAAGTCTCAAGTCTCTACAGCTGGGACTTAGTCTCTGCAAAAGATCCTAAGGGCTTTTCTCAGTCCAACAAGTGGCTTCGTGAAGTTTCAGTGTTTTTTTTTTTTAACCAAGGTTGAACATTCAGCGAAACTTTTATAGTCAAGGCTGTAACATTCAGCCTTTTTGTCCAGGGGGGGGGCTGAGAAATCAGCCTAAGTATGGGGGGCAAGGATGATAAATCAGTGTGCCTAAAAACGAATCTTGGGGCATGTTTGTCAGCCAACTTCTCACGTTTTGTCAACATGCTCCCCTTTAGAAAGACGCGCTAGAACACACATTTCAAGCACTACATTTTCACGTGCTCAAATCTTTTTTCCATAAAATCCCTTTCATAAGCCCCAGACTTAAAAAATTTATTCGATTACAAGTGCACGCCACTTTTGTTAGGTATTTCCTATAAGCCCCTATGCGCCTATATCGGGGGGATTACAGTATTTTGGAACGTAAGCTGCAGAAGACAGTGGGGGGATAAGAGACAAGGACAGAAGGAAGTGGACAGACACCGTCAGAGATGCATCAGATCAGAATGGCATAGAAAGGGCGGGTGGAGGGAATGCAGGCACTAGTGGAAACGAAGGAAGGCACGGACAGAGTGCAAGTGCGGCATGCACACAATGGCACTCGCGCCTCCAATATGGGGGCCGTGGGAGCACACCTCTTCTTCAGTGCTTGCAGCTGCGCCAGCAACCTCCTGGCCTCTTGCAACTTGGCCCTTTCCCCATCCACCTCACTCCTTCCCGCCTGCCCTCTGCTCCCCCTCCCGCCTTGCCCAGCCCCATCCCTCCCCTCTTTGCTCTGCTGCTCCCTCCTCTGTCCCCCCTCCCCTTGGCCACCTTCCCTCCCACCCCTCACTGAATCACTCCCCCTCTTCTCACCATTCCCCGCCTCTTGCCTCTCCCCCTCTCTCCCAGCACCTTCACTTCCACGGTGACGCACCTCCCAGTGCTCCCCCCCCACCTCATCCCCCCCCGCCCCCTGCAGGGCGCTGTGCAGCAGCGCCACCTTGTGCGCCACCTCCTGCTCCAGCGCCTGCACCTCCCCCAGGTACATGCCCAGAACCCTCTCCCGCCGCCCCAAAGCGCGCTGCTGCCACGTCGCTTCGCTGCCCTGCCCGCAAGCCCTCGCTGCTGCACCCACAGAGCTGCTGCTGCCCCCTGCTGCGCGCACCCTCGACTGATTAACTGGGGGGCGGCTTGCTGCTGCTGCAGCCAGAATGCGGCGTTCGCGGCTTGAAATGGCCTGGTGGGAGTGTGAGGTGGGGGTTGGAGGAGGGGATGAGAACGGGAAGAAACGAATGCCAGACAGGAAAGAGCATCGGTGTGAGGTCAGGCCTGCAGGAAAGAAGTGGACATATGACTACTATCCAAGTACGGGGTGCATGCAGCACCATCTGAATCAGCGCACGTCACTCCTTCGGTAACTCACTGCCTTGCCACCTTGTCTTCCTACCCCCCTCTTTCACCCCCACTCCATCACCTCCCCCTTTCCCCCACCCTTCCCCATCCCCTCCACCCCCTCTCTCCTTCCACCCCCCTCATCCCCACCCCCACCTTGGCAATGCTGCGCACGAGTCGTTCCAGCACGCCCGCGCGGGTCTCAGCGCGTGTGAGCGCGTGCAGCACTCGCACCCGCTCCACCCGCACCCGCTCCAGCGTCGTCAGCACCCCACTGCCCCTGCTGCTGTTGCTGCCGCCACTACTGGCGCTGCTAGCAGCAGTGGTGGCGGCAGTGCTGCGGTCGCCCGTGAGCCCCGCCCTGCGCGTCTCCCGCGCCGCTGCCTCGTCCAGCCGCTCCAGGGCCGCCCGCAGCCGGTGGTAGCGCCGCCACGCCGCCTCCACTGCAGGGGGGGTTGCGGGACGGAGATGCGGAGGGGGAGGGGGGATAGAGGAGAGGCGAGCATCGGGAGAGAGAGGCGGGGGTAAGAGTGATGAGGGCGCACGAACGAGGGGAAGGGGCGGGGTGGGACGTGGAGAGGCCCGCTGCACGTGTCCTGCCCATCCATGGCACCGTGCACACCACCATTCATCACACCGCCCATTGTCCTTCGCCCATGGCCCATGGCCCATGGCCCGCCATCCATGGCCTCACCCCGCCCGAACGTCATCTCCAGCTCGCCCTCCAGCTCCGCGATTTCCGCCTGAACCTCCGCCACCGTCGCCTCGTCGCTCACCGCGCCTCGCCCGCCCTCAGCTCTCGCCACGTGCACGCTCCTGACTGGCCGATCGGCCTCTCTTTTCGGGAATCCGAGAACGGCGGGTGGCGAATCGGCATTTAAGCTCGTCGTAAACAGTACCGACGCGGACAACGGCGAGGATAACGAGGAGCCGCAGCGAGCGAGAACGGAGGGGGCGGGGAGGGGCGAGGGGGCAGCGAGGAGCGCGAGGGACGACGCTGTGGCCGATGGGAGCGGCGAGGACGAGGCGGCGGCACGTGCGGCGGAAGGTGCGGGAGCAACGGGAGTCCAGCGGCTGGTGCAGGCGAGCGGGCAGCGAGCAGCGAGCGGTGGAATGGCCATGGGGTGTGCTTCCAGTGGACTCAGAATGACGGCTCGGATGGCGGGGAATGGAGGAAATGTGGATATGCGGGGAATGGAGGAAATGTGGATATGCGGGGAATGGAGGAAATGTGGATATGCGGGGAAAGGGAGATGTGCGGGCCACCTGATTCACCTTTCTCCTATTTAGTCCCACGTTTTTAGCACGCGGCTTGAGCCTGTAAGCAGGAAATGGTAAAACACGGGCAAACGGGACCTTGAAGGGGAAAACCCACAGAAAGCACTGACACTTGGTTACAAAATCTCGCTCATGCACTAGACTAGTTGCCCGCGCGATGGCCCAGTTTTTCCAATCGCAATTGTCGAAATACGACTTGGCTGTTCGCCATCGTTCAGACTGCAGCCAATCAGGTTCAGTGTCAACACGAGTCATGCTGAGAAGCTGGTAGGTGGGATTGAAATTTGGACTGTTCCGGGTGGGACAATAGAGAGGAAAGGTGTAGATGGTGTGTGTGGGTGGGGCGAGGTGGATGAGTGGCAGTGTGTGGGAGGAGCGCAGGGCGACGCATTGGCACGAGCTGAGCACCATACAATACCACTAGCAGTCCCAGGATACCTCGCAGCACACGGCACCAGTGATCGCCTCGCCCCGCCTCGCGAGCCGAGCCTTCCGCTGCGCACGGAATACCTTGCTCCACGCGGCACGAGTGATCGCCTCGCCAGCCGTCGGCGTCCCAGTGCGTTCCGCCCGCCATGCATCCGCGCGCGTCGTTGTCGAGCGACGCTCGCGAGCGAGCGACGTCCACCAGCCGACTCGACGCCTCCGCGTCGCTCCGCGCCCTCGCGTCGTCATCCGCAGCAGCCGCACCCGATGCCACGCGCGCTGCCATGGGGAGCGGTGCGGGCGCCAGCAGCACGGGCACCGCCAGCATGGGCGCGCCCAGCAGAAGCGGCAGCGCGGGGAGCCTCGTCGGGGGATCCGCCGCCCGCTCCCGATTCGCGGGTCGGCGGCGGCAGCCGGCGAGCTCCCGGGGCGGCTGGCAGTTCTTCGGGTCGCGGCACCGGCGCGTGCTGCTGCTCTTCGTCGCCGCGATCGCCGGCCTCGCCGCGATGAACGTGCTGCTGCTCCGCTCGCCCAACTCGATAAGAGCCGCCGATCTCCGTTATCGCAATAACGAGGATTTGAGCGCCGAGAGCGAACCTCGCGGGAGCAGCGACGAGGTGGACGACGAAGGCGCGGATAACGAGGAGAGCGATAGCGAGGACAGGCGAAACGGCGACTCCTCGTGGTCGTGGCTGTGGCGGAGCGTGCTTGGCGGGAAGCGCGGCGGGCAGCGGCGCGCGCGCGAGCTAAAGGCGTTCAACAACTCGGACCCGGAGCCCGATGCGGGCATCAGCGGCGCGGACGAGCAGTTCATCGACGCCACGCTGCCCGTCCACGGCGCGCAGGGGCTCGCCGCGCGCAAGGGGGGGAATGCGGGCGCAGCGGTGGGCGCAGGCGGGGCGGGCGCGGGGGGAGGCGGGGCGCGCGTGCGGCTGGAGGACGTGCTGCGGTTTAACGTGATGGGCGCGGGCAGGCGGTGGGACCGACGCGTGGGGTGCTCCAAGTTCCGAGCGAAGCACAACGGTAAGCACGCTTGATCGCCCTGCAACAACACTCCCTGCAATCCCCTTTCCCCCCAGCCCCCCTCCCCAGGACACCCCACCACCCCCACCAGCCACCTGCGTCCCTCCCTCCATCCTCCCCCCTCCTCTCGCGCCATGGCACCTCCACCCCTCTCCTTGCCCACGGCTTCCTGGCCGCCCTCCACACACTCGCCGCTCCCCTCGCCACTCCTCTCTTTCTCTCCGTTTGAGGTCTCAAGACGGTCCACTCTCCGCCACTGCTGTCTCTCTGCCGCCCATGCACCTCTCTGCCGCCCATGCACCTCTCTGCTGCCCATGCACCTATCTGCTGCCCATGCATCTCTCTGCCGCCCATGCATCTCTCTGCCGCCCATGCATCTCTCTGCCGCCCATGCATCCCTCTGCTGCCGGTGCATCTCATGCTGCTTGCCTGCCCCAGAAAAAAATCTGTTCCGCCACTACACCTGATGCTGCTAACGTTGCTGTGACTACTATTCTTGCTGTTGTGTGCTGTCATGCGCCTTTGCATGGTCGAGCTGGATATCCCTGTATCTTCCGCGTGTGTGCATGCATGTGTGTGCATGCATGTGTGTGCATGCATGTGTGTGCATGCATGTGTGTGCATGCATGTGTGTGCGTGCATGTGTGTGCGTGCATGTGTGTGCATGCATGTGTGTGCATGCATGTGTGTGCATGCATGTGTGTGCATGCATGTGTGTGCATGCATGTGTGTGCATGCATGTGTGTGCATGCATGTGTGTGCATGCATGTGTGTGCGTGCATGTGTGTGCGTGCGTGTGTGTGCGTGCATGTGTGTGCATGCATGTGTGTGCATGCATGTGTGTGCATGCATGTGTGTGCATGCATGTGTGTGCATGCATGTGTGTGCATGCATGTGTGTGCATGCATGTGTGTGCATGCATGTGTGTGTGCATGCATGTGTGTGCATGCATGTGTGTGCATGCATGTGTGTGTGCATGCATGTGTGTGCATGCATGTGTGTGCATGCATGTGTGTGCATGCATGTGTGTGCATGCATGTGTGTGCATGCATGTGTGTGCATGCATGTGTGTGCATGCATGTGTGTGCATGCATGTGTGTGCATGCATGTGTGTGCATGCATGTGTGTGCATGCATGTGTGTGCATGCATGTGTGTGCATGCATGTGTGTGCATGCATGTGTGTGCATGCATGTGTGTGCATGCATGTGTGTGCATGCATGTGTGTGCGTGCGTGTGTGTGCATGCATGTGTGTGCATGCATGTGTGTGCATGCATGTGTGTGCATGCATGTGTGTGCATGCATGTGTGTGCATGCATGTGTGTGCATGCATGTGTGTGCATGCATGTGTGTGCATGCATGTGTGTGCATGCATGTGTGTGCATGCATGTGTGTGCATGCATGTGTGTGCATGCATGTGTGTGCATGCATGTGTGTGCATGCATGTGTGTGCATGCATGTGTGTGCATGCATGTGTGTGCATGCATGTGTGTGCATGCATGTGTGTGCATGCATGTGTGTGCATGCATGTGTGTGCATGCATGTGTGTGCATGCATGTGTGTGTTGCATGTGTGTGCATGCATGTGTGTGCATGCATGTGTGTGCATGCATGTGTGTGCATGCATGTGTGTGCATGCATGTGTGTGCATGCATGTGCGTGCATGCATGTGTGTGCATGCATGTGCGTGCATGCATTTGCCTGCATGCATGTGTGTGCATGCATGTGTGTGTATGCATGTGTGAGCATGCATTTGTCTGCATGCATGTGTGTGCATGCATGTGTGTGAATGCATGTGTGTGCATGCATCTGTCTGCATGCATGTGTGTGCATGCATGTGCGTGTATGCATGTGTGTGCATGCATTTGTCTGCATGCATGTGTGTGCATGCTTTTGTCTGCATGCATGTGTGTGCTTGCATTGTCTGCATGCATGTGCGTGCATGCAATTGTCTGCATGCATGTGTGTGCATCCCTGTGCATGCAACCACCCACCTGCCACCAGCCAGCGTGCATGCTTGGCGGCCGTCTGACTGGCACCCACCGTCGCCCAGTCTGCAGGCGACCATCAACCCCGCGCACTGCTCGAACCTCAAGCTGCCACACGTCACCGTGCGGGTAATCAAACCCTGCCACCTTTTCTGCATCCCTTTTCCCACCCTAGAACTCTGCCGCATTGCTAGCAGCGCATGATTCTGGTTCTCTTGGTCGAAGGGCGTGGGCGAGAATCAGGTTGCTGGCACAAGGTTGTGTGCATGGCGCTGGGACCGTGACTGCATGGCCTGGAGTGGAGGGCCCTGCTGCACCACCACTAGCTCCCCCCATGGGCAGCCAGATCCTTGCATGGCTATCTCCCTCTCCTCCCCCATGTCCCATCGCCGTCACAGCATGTGTTCACCTCACCCTTTCCCTGCTCCCTGCCTCCCTCCCTCCATCCTCCTACTTCACCCGCCCTCTCGCTGTCTCCTTACCCCCTTCTCTGTAACCGCCAGGTGGCGAACAGCACGTGGCTGCAGGACACGATCATCGAGGGCATGCATGCGTGCCACCCTTGCCCGCTCTCCTGTGCCTTCACGCGTGCGCGCCCCCTGGCCACGCACCCCGACGCACTGCTCTTCGAGGGCGTGCTGCCGCCCAACCCCTCCAAGCCCGGCCACCCCCTCCACGTCTACATGAACCTCGAGGCCGACCCCTGGGGTGAGGGGGGAGGGGGCACGGCTGGGGAGGGAGGAAATGTGAAAGAGGGGGAGAAGGGAAAGGAGGGCAAGGAGGGGAGTGGGGGTGAGGGGGCGGGTGCGAGGGCGGCGGTGGACGTGTGGGTGGGGTACAGTGCGAATGCGACGGTGCAGGCGACGTATGCGGGGCACCTGTTCCACTGGGACCGCCAGCGCTACATCGCAGACAACAAGCGCACCGTGAGTGCAGGGCGCGCTGTGAGTGCAGGGCGCGCTGTGAGTGCAGGGCGCGCTGTGAGTGCAGGGCGCGCTGTGAGTGCAGGGCGCGCTGTGAGTGCAGGGCACGCTGTGAGTGCAGGGCGCGCTGTGAGTGCAGGGCGCGCTGTGAGTGCAGGGCGCGCTGTGAGTGCAGGGCGCGCTGTGAGTGCAGGGCGCGCTGTGAGTGCAGGGCGCGCTGTGAGTGCAGGGCGCGCTGTGAGTGCAGGGCGCGCTGTGAGTGCAGGGCGCGCTGTGAGTGCAGGGCGTGCTGTGAGTGCAGGGCGTGCTGTGAGTGCAGGGCGCGCTGTGAGTGCAGGGCGCGCTGTGAGTGCAGGGCGTGCTGTGAGTGCAGGGCGCGCTGTGAGTGCAGGGCGCGCTGTGAGTGCAGGGCGCGCTGTGAGTGCAGGGCGCGCTGTGAGTGCAGGGCGCGCTGTGAGTGCAGGGCGCGCTGTGAGTGCAGGGCGCGCTGTGAGTGCAGGGCGTGCTGTGAGTGCAGGGCGTGCTGTGAGTGCAGGGCGCGCTGTGAGTGCAGGGCGCGCTGTGAGTGCAGGGCGCGCTGTGAGTGCAGGGCGCGCTGTGAGTGCAGGGCGCGCTGTGAGTGCAGGGCGCGCTGTGAGTGCAGGGCGTGCTGTGAGTGCAGGGCGTGCTGTGAGTGCAGGGCGTGCTGTGAGTGCAGGGCGTGCTGTGAGTGCAGGGCGCGTGCTGTGAGTGCAGGGCGCGCTGTGAGTGCAGGGCGTGCTGTGAGTGCAGGGCGTGCTGTGAGTGCAGGGCGTGCTGTGAGTGCAGGGCGTGCTGTGAGTGCAGGGCGTGCTGTGAGTGCAGGGCGTGCATGGCATGGTGGGGAAGGAGGAACTCCAGAACTCCCTTGCCTCCCTTGCCTCTCCTCTTCCTCTCCCCACCTTGCACATATCCCCCACTCCCCTCTGCGTCCTCTCCTCTCCCGCCCTCTCCCTCCCCCCCCAGGACGTGCCAGTGTTCCATGCGGTGTCCAGCTTCGTGCCATGGCGCGATGCCGTGGTGAAGGCGCTCATGAAGCAATTGCCCCTGCACTCATTCGGCTCGTGCCGCAACAACATGGCGGAGCACGGCGCCGAGCTGCAGCTCTACCCGCACTGCGCACACACGTACGGCGCGGGGGAGCGGTGGCACCACCACACGCACTGCGTGCAGTCGCACTACCTCTTCGCCCTCGCCGTCGAGAACACCCGCGCGCCGGGCTACGTCACTGAGAAGTTCTTCTACCCGCTGGAAGCAGGTGGGGGGGCAGGGGTGCAGGGAGGGTAACAGGGGAGAGGCTGGATGGGGATGCTGGTTGGAACTTCATGACGGAGAGCAATCGGCAAGAAAGGGTTTCGGGAGTATAGAGAGCCTTGCCTCCGATCTCTCCTTTGCCCACTCGCCCTAACCTCTCCCTGCCCGCTTCTCCATCTCTCCATGTCAACCCCTCTCAGGAACCGTGCCCATCTACATAGGCGCGCCCGACATAGCGGCGTTCGCCCCCCCGGACTCGTACATCGATGCGTCGGGGCTGTCCCCAGCGGAGGTGGGCGCGCTGGTGAAGCGCATCGCCGCCGACCCCCTGGAGTACATGGGGTACCATGCCTGGCGCAGGTGCGTGCCGTGCCGCTCTCAGCGGCTCAGGGAAGGGTGCAGGCGCCTGCTGAGAGCCCTCACAGCCCTGGGATGGGAGCCTTTTCCTGCTGTGAGCATGACTGGAGTCTCTCTTGGTTGGCGCGACGTCCTTCCACTCATGTGCGACTGCACTTGCTGCCTTGCCGCCCTCAGTGCGCACACGCAGATGTGCTGCCCTCCTCATGGCCCATCTTGCCTATGGCGCACTGCAGCTGCTCTAGTAAATGTGGATACGTCACATCGAGCCGAACCAAGTTTTTTTTGCTTTTGCCAGTCACCTGGTGCAAGTGGCGCACATGCTGGCGTGCACCTCCAACGCCACCCGCGCTCTCACACATGCACAGCAGCTCCCTTCTATGTGCCCCCCCACTACTATCTCCCTCCCTCACATGCTCATCTCTCCCCCTTGAGTCCTGCATCCTCCCACTTAAGACTGCTCCCCTCCCAATCCCCGCCCCACTCCCCTCCCACTGGCCCATGGCCCCTGCCCCCTGCATGGCAGCAGGTGCGGTGTGTTAGGCAACTACTCGCGTGCGCGCCAAGTGTCCCTGGACTCGCTGCCATGCCGCCTGTGCGAGCAGGTCAGCCGCATGGGCGGTACACAGTACCCACGGCCGTGATGCCACCCTGCATGGCGTGTGTGGCGCTGCTGGGCGTGCTGGTGCACGCACACCAATATTAAGCACTGCTGGGCCTGCAGGTCTCACGGCAGGTGCTTTCAGGAGGCATGTGTTCAAACCAAGGCTTGTGGAGTGTCAAGCAGTGTTAATGTACGGTAGTAAGTTTTTGAAGTGTCAGGCTGGGAAACACAAGTGGAAAAAGGCAATATTTGTCAACAATATTCACAAGCACCAGCCAGCTAGCCAGCGCCAGCTCGCCAGCTGCTAGCCGCCAGCGCCAGCTCGCCAGCTGTTAGCCGCCAGCGCCAGCTCGCCAGCTGCTAGCCGCAATCGCCAGCTCGCCAGCTGCTAGCCGCCAGCGCCAGCTCGCCAGCTCCTAGCCGCCAGCTGCTAGCCGCCAGCTCGCCAGCTACAAGCCGCCAGCAGCTAGCCGCCAGCTGCTAGCCACCAGCTCGCCAGCTGCTAGCCGCCAGCGCCAGCTCGCCAGCTGCTAGCCGCCAGCTGCTAGCCGCTAGCTCGCCAGCTGCTAGCCGCCAGCGCCAGCTCGCCAGCTGCTAGCCGCCAGCGCCAGCTCGCCAGCTGCTAGCCGCCAGCGCCAGCTCGCCAGCTGCTAGCCGCCAGCGCCAGCTCGCCAGCTGCTAGCCGCCAGCGCCAGCTCGCCAGCTGCTAGCCGCCAGCGCCAGCTCGCCAGCTGCTAGCCGCCAGCGCCAGCTCGCCAGCTCCTAGCCGCCAGTGCCAGCTCGCCAGCTCCTAGCCGCCAGCTGCTAGCCACCAGCTCGCCAGCTACTAGCCGCCAGCTCCTAGCCGCCAGCGCCAGCTCGCCAGCTGTTAGTCGCCAGCTGCTAGCCGCCAGCTTGCCAGCTGCTAGCCGCCAGCGCCAGCTCGCCAGCGCCCACCCGCCGCTTACCCGCACTAGTCAGCAGCGCCAACTGACTCCACTGCCCGCCAGCTGCCACTGCCAGCGGCGCCTCTCTGCTGCAGCCACTGCCTCTGCCACTGCTGCAGCTTGCTCTGCCACTTGCTCTGCCGCTGCAGCCACTTGCACCGCCGCCGCGGCCACTGTTGCAGCTGCTGTTGCCACTGCCGCTGCAGCCGCTTTAGCTGCCGCTGCTACCACTGCCACAGCCGCCACTGCCGCTGCCGCCACTTCCCTTGAGCCACCGCTGCAGCCGCTACCCTTGCAGCTGCTACTGCCGCTGCTGCAGCTACCACGCCGCCCCCTGCAGCTGCCCCTGCCGCTGCAGCCCACACTGCCACTGCAGCCGCTGCTGCCACCACTGCCGCGGCTCGCCCGTACCCATGTAGCCGCCTCCGCTAGCCAGCTCACTGCTGGCCTGCTGCCATCCTCACCTCGCTGCTAGCTAGCCGCCCTCGCTGTCACCGGCTCCTGTAGCAGCTGCCCCAGCTGTTCCTGCTTCTGCCGCCACTGTCTTTCCGGCCGCAGCTGCCAGCATGGCGTCGCCCGGTGTCTTCGTTCTGCGCCTGGATGGGGAGGGGCGGGCAGTCGGTTTCGCCGCCTGGCAGGAGGCAGTTCTCCTTCAACTCACGAGTCAGCGCGTCGACGATGAGTCTTTGGACGCCCACGTCTCTAGTGAGCTCCCCACTATCCCTCGCCCGGGCGCTCCTGCTCATGACGCGACGTCTGAGCAGCAGGCTGTGCACGCTGCTGCTCTTACTGCCTACTCTATCTGGGCGTCTCGCGATGCCACTGCTCGAGTCGCCATCCTCAGGTGCCTGCCGGTTGCCGAGCACTCCCACTTGGTGGGTGCTATGTCAGTCCGCGCCCTCTGGCTGGCTATCCTAGCTAGGTACTCCACCCCGTCGTCTGCCACTCTTGGTCGCCTCCTCCTCCCTTTCTTCCACCCTGACCTGACGTCGTTCACCACTGTAGCAGACTTAGTTGAGCACCTACGTTCTCTCGAGGCTCGCTGGCGTGCGGCCTGTACTGAGGCCCAGCTAGCGCTCGCCCCGACCCCCCTCTTCGCCATTGTCTACTTCCTTGTCACCCGCCTCCCTGACCGCCTAGCCCCTGCCCGTGACGCGCTCCTTGCTCGTCACCCCTCTGAGCTCACCATTGACCTCTTCTCCACCTCCCTGACTGAGATAGAGGACCGCCTCCGCGATATCGCCGGTTCCACTGGCGCGCCGGCGGTCCCTATTTTTCAGGGCAGCGCTCCCTCTCTAGTAACAGTCCCTGCCTCCGCCTCGGTAGTTGAGACAGCAGCGGCTACCTCTGCCCCCGGCCGCTCATCTGGCGGCAAGGGCAAGGGCAAGGGGGCAAGGGTCGTGGGGGGTCGGCAGCAGCAGGTGGAGGGGGTGAGGGTGCAGACGGAGAGGGTGGTCAGTCGGAGTCGGGGACTGCACAGCAGCAGCAGCAGCAGCCGCAGCAGTCTTGGGGGCCGGCGGGCCCTGGGGGTGTTAGTCGTGGTGGAGGCCGTGGGGGTTGGGTCCCAGGGCTGTCGGTGCCCTGGGGGTCGCGTGGCTCTTCTGTGAGTCAGGGTGCTGGTGGTTCTGGTAGCGCGGTAACCTGCACGTACCAGCTGCTGACTGGCCCACAGGCGGGCCAGGTGTGCAGGCGCGTGGGGCACACCGCCACCTGGACGACCTCTACCGTCGTCACTTCGGCCCGCAGGTGCTGGTTCCCCCACTGGCCGGTCTTGCTTCGTCATGGAGTTCCTATATTTGATATGGATATGATTCAGATTGACCATGCCTTATATTCTCAGTATTATGATGCTTCTAGTGTTGCTAGTTTTTATTATCCTGCTGTTTGTAGCCTTGGAGCTACTGCTGTGTGTAGTCTAGGATTCCCTGCTGCGTCAAGCGTAGGACGTGTTAGAGACTCTTCACCGGGCCCCGCCTTGTCAGCCCTCTCCTTTGTATTAGACTCTGGAGTGTCTCGGTGCTTCTTTCGAGACAGTACTGCTCTCACCCCGCTTCCTACGCCTGTTCGCGTCGCACTAGCAGACTTCTCCGCCACAGCTAACGCACGTAGCACCACCACTCTCCCCTTGTCCCTTCCGGCTCCCTCACAGGTCTGCACATCCCCTCGTTTGCTAGGAACTTAGTGGGTGTCGGTCACCTCCAGGACCGAGGCGTCACCACTACGTTCCCTGGCCGCGAGAGACACGCTGCTTGCACAGACACAGTCACCGGTCGACACTTAGTTACCTTTGAGCGTGACCCTGGATCAGGTCTTTTTACCCTGCACACTGAGTCCCTGATCACTGCTACGTCTGCCGAGGTCGCCGCGTCCTGCACCTGTCGCTCACTAGCCCACCCGACCCTTTTGTGGCACCACCTCTTAGGTCACCCTGCACTCCCGCGTCTTAGGCACATGTCCCGGTACAGTCTAGTAACTGGTCTCCCTGCGTCGCTCCCCGCCTTGCCTCCGTCGGTAGCGCCACTGTGCACCTCCTGCGTCGAGGGCTGGCAGCGTGCCGCCCCTCACTCCTCCTCATTTCCTCCTACCACACCACCGCTACAGACACTACACATGGACGTCTGGGGCCCTGCCCCGATCCATGGTCTCACTCGGGAGCGCTACTTCCTAGTCGTCGTTGACGACTTCTCGCGGTTCACCACAGTTTTCCCGTTAGAGCGGAAGGCCGACGTGCCGACCGTTCTCCTCCCGTAGATTCTCACTGTTTGCACCGCCTACCGACTGTCTGTAGGTCGCTTACACTCTAACAGCGGTGGCGAGTTCGCCTCTAGCTCTCTCGGACGGTTCCGTCGTGCGGAGGGCATCCGCCAGACGTACACACTGCCGGACTCCCCACAGTAGAATGGGGTCGCTGAGCGACGCATCGGGGTGGCTTGCACCTCCATGGTCCACGCCGGTGCACCCCATTTTCTGTGGCTGTTCGCCGTGCGCTATGCTACTCACCAGCTTAACCTGTGGCCGCGCTCCCAGCGACCACAGGTTTCGCCGACCCTTCTCTGGACCGGGTCTCCTGGTGACGCGTCTGCGTTCCACGTCTGGGGCAGCCTTGCTCACGTCCGTGATACTATCGCGAACAAGCTCTCAGCCCGCACTCTTCCTTGTGTCTTCTTGGAGTTCCCGCTTGACGCCTCTGACTGGCTGTTCTACCACCCCTCACACCACCGTTTTTACCACTCTCGTGAAGTCACCTTCGACGAGACGCTCCCCTACTACCGGCGCTTCCCGCACCGCAGCGCCCCTGTGCCTCCTCCTCCTCTCTTCCTTGTCCCTGCCCCCCCTGCCGCACCCCTCCCGCCCCGCCCGGCCCAGTCTGGTGTCTCCCACACCACTCAGTTCCCCTTGGTTCCCCATGTGGGGGAGTCGGCTGGCTTTGGGGCCCCAGCTGCTGGGGGTGCGCTTGCTGTCTCTGTGGCGCCTCCCCCAGCCTCGGTCCCCCAGGCCCCTCAGCCGCCTGCTCCCTTGCCTCAGCAGCAGCAGTCGTCGCCGCAGCAGACTCCACGGCCGCAGCAGCAGCAGCAGGGAGCAGTAAGCTCCGGGGGTGCTGGTTCTGGGGGTGCGAGTTCTTGGGGTGCTGACTCCAAGGGCGCTGGTTCTGTAGGTGGTGAGACCGAGAGTGCTAGTTTTGGGGGTGCTGTTTCGCGGCGTGCGGGTGGCAGCTGGGGTGCCACTGGAGGTCCTGGAGCGGACAGGAAGCAGCAGCAGCAGCAGCAGGTGCAGCCGCCGCAGCAGGAGCCGCCGTAGTCTGCCCTTCGTCTCCATGGTCTTGCTATAGGTTCCCCTATCAGCCCACCCATTCCCCCTCCGGTGCGTGACCCTGTTTCCGGCCCGTTGTTTCCTCCTCCGGACTCCTCTCCGGCTCGTTTCCCCCCGCGCTCCCCTCCGTCCCCTGACCTGTCCCCCGTCCCCCCTTGTCCCCAGTCCCCAGTTCTTCCCCATTGGGTTTGTCGCCCCTCTGATGCTCATCCTGTCTCTCCCTGTCCTAGTGTCCACCCTATGCTCCTTCGTTCGCATGCTCCTCCCGTCACAGTCCTCCCGTTGCCTCCCCTGTTGTTGCTACCGTCGTCCCCCCCTCCTCGCTCCAACGCTGTTCGCACTGCTAGTCCAGTCCTATCGCGCCTGCTTGCGTCGCTTGTCACTGACCCTAGTGCTCCTCCTAAGTTTGTCTCCGCGCTGGTCGCTGCTGTCGCTGACTTTGCTGCTAGCCACCGCCTTGACTACGCTGCCGCTCTGGTCTCTGGTACTGTCCGTCCTCCGTCCGTCGGGGGTGCACCTGC